GGCCTCCTCATATGATGAGGCGCTCCCTATCTGCTGCCTACAGCCGCATCTTCTGCTTCACAAAGTAGTGCAGGGAACACGAAAAACCCCCTCTGAGCACGGAGGCAGATAATCACAGACCCCGGTGGCTTTAAAAGTCCATCTGACATGAAAAACACACACACACACACATTCTGAGCAACAATCGAATAAGACCAGATTACAAGTGATGGGCTCATTCCAGCAGAATGTGGGGATCAGTGCTGCGGTCACATCCGAGCAGGGAAACACCACAAGCAAGTAAGTGATCTGACCTAAGCCAATCACGCCGGGACACATTACTGCACACGACTTGCAGAGATATGGAAAGGCTCCCAGATTCCAGAATGAATTTATCTCCGAACCTGCATGTTGCACATACCTTTACAGAGTCTCAATAAATTGTGCATGTACATTTGCAGACAACCATTTTGCCTTTAATGTGGGACGTGATATTTAAACAGACAACCAGATTTGCTCATGAGGGCAGCAATTCAAAATAAAACAGCAACAAAAACCGAAACTGTTCATTCATCCCTGTTCATGACTGCAGCTTAAGGTATCAACCTACAGACACAAAAAATCTCTTAAATACTTTTCCGCACATCTCAATCTTTGCTTTGTGGTTACAGATTACTGCTTTTAATGTTAATCCCAGCAGATTATATCAAAGTCCAGAATATATCCCACTAGTTGGATCTCTTCTGTCTCTTGTGACACGAAAGCTGAAGTGACACTGAAATTAAAGTGAAATGAGCCTTCGTTCTCCCTGTCTCATTTGAAATTCTTGTGTGTTTATGTATAACTGCTGTGTAGCCTAAGAAAGTCAATACAGATCCAATCAGATTATTTACATGGCTGACATGTAAAGTATAATTTAAAGCCATAGCGCGACAATCATATAATGAACATTAAATCGTGTAAAGCTGAAACTTCTGGCATGATTCTAAATTTGGTTAAAACACAAACACTGTTTTACATAAACAATGTACATGATCAAATTAAAACATTTCTCGTCATTAGATCTCCTTTAAAATAAAGCTAGCTGTGATGTATGCATACAGATCCACTTAAGAGAGGCTGTGACGTTTGCATGCTTCTGCCTTTAGAGCTGCATGCAACAGGAGGGCACTTCCTCGTTTTGGGATACACATTTGCCTGGCTTTATTTCAAAAGCATGATTGCTTGCATAACCTGCCATCACCTTCCTTCTTCCTTCCTGTACTACAACTGTGGGAATAGTGGCTGCACCTGATTGAAGTAATGCTTCACTCTACTCCTGGATTTCAAAATGGACCACATTCGTGGCTCGTTTAGAAAATATAAAAAACAAGATGTGCAGCTGCTCAATTCGTCTTAATTTGGGATCGATAACAGTTAGTTTTAAATTTTTTCGTGAGTTTCCAGGGGCACCGAGGTTTGCATAAAATAGGATAAATCTAAACTTTATGCAAATGAGAGGCAAAGACAATGAATGAGAAGTTTGGAAATGACAGATGCTGTGGACATGAGCTACCAGGCTTGGATAGCCAATCTGGGTCTGATTTCTCTATGTCATTGTTATTTTCGTCCAAGTAACTGACTGCTGTGCTCTGCTTCCTCGCTCAGGTTGTCTGAAGTGCAACTTTACAAACTTTTTGCAGGCTAAAGAGCACTCACTGCAAATGAGTAACCACTGGATCACGATGCACCTGATCTTAAAGGTATATACAATTACATGTTTAATGCAGTCGCTCTTAAATCTTTACATGCTATTCTAAAGTCAAAAAACAGATGCTTATTATGAGTCACACAACCTTAAGAAAGGCATATAAAAAGTGCATTAAAATGGCTGCTTTGGAGAAGTTATTGTGCAAACCAGTCCTTTCAGTTCAGGAAATCAGTGCAAAGGCATGGCTTGGGGGGGATAAAGAGTTTACACTGAGACCCTGCCAACTTCATTCACTGATTCCTGAACGTACGCAAAGCTGCTAACAACACAAACACAACTTATCCTCTTTATGGGTAAAGCACAAAAATGACAATGGATACAACATTATGAGGATGAAGTGATTCACTGTGCACTTTTTTATCATTATTCTGCAACTAGTAAATTGTCAAAACACCTGTATTAATACACCGTAGGTGCTTAACAGCAATGGATTTATTTTTTCCTCACTAATAGGAAACTTTCAAAAATGAGCACAAAAAAGTGGAAACAGGCCTTTAGTGTGGCGTTAGAGCAGCCGATGGAACCTACCTGTGAAGTTGGGAGACACAGAGAAGCATGAAGAAAGAAGAGATGAAGGAACAACAGGAGACTGGAGAAAATGGAGATGAAGATGGAGAGACGTGAGCTGAAAATGAGTACAAGGTGTAAAGGTCAACAGACATGACTTTGAACTGCAGAGGATGAAAACGAGGATAACATGATTGTACGTGGCGTGAAGCGTGAAGGAGGATACACAAGGCCGGACCGAGGCAGCTGCTGAGCATCCCACTGTAATTACCCCAAATGGACATCACTGTGTTCAACTAACAATCTTTATTAGATCAGAAAGCGCCCAGAGGAACCGACGATTTCCCTCCACTCTCTACACCTCACTGATGAGCGATGGGACCATTCATGCAAAATGCATGTGAGCAGTGAATTATTTATTGTGCTTTTTATTTCCCGCTCACAGGGGGGAGATGTGAGTTAAAAAACCATGAGCTGAGCCGATTCAGGTGAGGGGTCCATCAAAATGTTACCCCAGATGTGACTCCTCCAAGTACTGAACAAAACCTCAATTTTTTAATACAAATATCTCTTTAATCCTCCCCATCAACAGGTAAACACTTTATTCTTTATGGCCTACAATGGCTGTCTAAACTGGATCAATGTGTCCAGGTTCTTTGTGTTTCCAGCCAAATGAACATTCAGTCTAAAATGTGGCAGGAAGCAGAGCAAATAAATGTTAAAGAGATGAAAAAAAGCAAGAGGATGAGCAGAATGATGAATGATGTATGCATGCGTGCTACATTATGAATCGAAGATTCATCTCCCTAGAGTTCTTTCAGATCTTCATGTTAAGAGCTTATACACTGGAAGACCCACATACCATGATACATAGACTTCACAAAGAGCTACTACAATAAACTGAAGTCTCATTTGCTGGAGTGATCATAGCCAGTTTACGCTAGACTTTTTGGCCATCTGTTTTAAAGAGCCCATATTCTGCATATGTACAAATTTAATTTTATGAATGACATCTACATCTACATGTTTATATGTTTTAATGTGCAAAAAACACACTATTGTTCCCATACTGCACATTGAGTACAGGCAGAGAGGAGGAGTTCTGGCAGAAGCAGCTCTATTGTGAGGAAATAATGTTGGACTGTGAGGGTCAAACTAGCTTCTAGGCAGTTGTTACGTAAATGTATTTCATGGTGATGTAGGGAAGTAATAGAGGAAAAGGTCTGGCTTCAGACAAGACATTTCAGGCAAGTAAGGAGCATTATAACTCCTCTTGGCGTGGAGTTTGAGCTTTATAAATTTGTAGACCTCCTACATACACAAAAAGCAGCTATATAACATAACGAAGGACAGGAATAACACAAAAGAAATAAATACAGACTCTTAAAGCAAATACAGCCACACTGACCACTTCTTTGACATGGTGTCAGATAGCTTGGAGTCAATTATGAGTAAAAGCTCAGTAAACCTTAAATAAGTTAGGCATAGCAGTCTCCATCGGTCATTCAAAGTTGTGAAAACATGGTAGTTTATCCCATCCGCCACCAAAAAATAATGAATTAATCCTTGAAGGCTGTTGATGTAGCATTTTTCTCCTTATGAAAGTAATAGCAACAACTCATCTGACCAAATTCTCACTGGTCAGATACGTACAAAGCATAGAGACCAACTAATTGACCACTCGACCTGCTACAGCTACAGCTCTACAGTTCACCACTATTCTCTACATTCATGCCTAAACATTATCACAAGAAATAAAAAAATAACAAAAGCTTACTACAGCTCACCTACTGTATCTGTGTGAGCCACAACCATATGAACAGTTCAAATGACTTAGAAGCACAACCCTGCAACTTCACACACACTTCACACACAACTCAAGCAGCCAGATGAGCTGAGATGACCTTTGGTTGCTTGCTAAATGTACAAAAGCTAAATTCAACAGTCCTAGAAATTTCAGCTAAAAAACAACTTGACTTCTCTTTTTGTTCTTCAAGATGTTTCACCTCTCATTCAAAAAACTACCACAGCTGTTTCAGTGCATAAACTGAAGAAGCGTCTTGGATGAGAAGTAAAACGTATTTAAAAACTACAACGTAAAGCCCAGTTGCTTTTGAATGAAGCTGATAGGATTTCCATGACCTGCATGACTGTGAATCTGCAGATGTGTAATCAGCAATACAAAAACAAGTGACAAATCTTTCTGCACAAAACCAAACTTTCAAATATAATCAAAAATGACAAAGTATCAGATCAGCTCATCGTCTCTGTTGAAAACTGTTGACAAAAACTAAATTGGCATGACACACTTCCACAGGGAGAAAGAGAGAAGAGGTTTTTGTTGTGTCCTGGTTGAATGAAACCCACAACAACTCTCCTGGTATTTCTAAATTTGTAGGACCCTTGTACAACTCTCTCAAATTAATTAATCTCACATGCACATAATTAAAAATACAGTATCAATATCTACTTGAACCCTCAGTGACACAACAGCTTTAAAAACACTTTGACACAACAGTGGACAAAGGTAAATACAAACACTGCAACTGGCATATTTCCATGAAATCTATACACACTGTGAGGACTTCAGACCATACAGTGAATTAGGTTCCTACACAAGTAAGTAATTACCTATTGAAATGAGACGTAAAATACAAGATAAGCAGTACTCTGTGACTGGAAGACATGGGGTGTCACACAGTACACATCAAATACTACAAAAGCAGAATTTGGACTTGAGTCAGTAACGTCTGACTCCACATACCTGGTTCCGAAGCCCCCCCTGGTCCCCGTGGGGGAGTCGAGGCTCTCTCCTGGCTTGGCTGGCCTGTCGCGATTCATTTGCTGCAGGATGGAGCTCAGCTCGGTGATAACGGTGTTCTTGGTGTCTGGTGTGGATGGGGGACTGCGTAACTCAGGGGGCTGATCACCCCAGAGCTTGGATGTCCTTTGAGTAGGAGTCCTAGGAGGTTCAGAGGAAGAGGGGGGAGGGGGAGGGGCCTGAGGCGGTGAACCGTAGGACTCTGGTGGCTCCTCAATGAGAGCGTCATGATAAAGTGATGTTCTGTTGATGACGGACTTGCCCTTGGGTTTGGGTGGCACCGGGGGCCGATCCACCAGGAAGGCGTGACCATCCGCGGTGGCATAGAGGCTCTCCAGAGTGCTGTCACAGAAGCCTCCCTCTGACGACAGTGTGGAGATGCTGGAAACGGTGCTGGTGGTCTCCATGTGCTGAGGATCCCCACTGCTGCGGCTGTCCACCTCTTCAATGCCCGAGTCGCCCACCCCTGACTCTTGGTCGGGTGGGGGCGGAGGATACGAGGGGGGCATGCTGTTTGCCACTCGTTTGTGTTGATCGGTGACCGGCGGCGGGGCGTGAGGGTGGTATGGGGGTAGAGCTGGTCCCCCGTTTCGTCTCTGTTGTTGTAGCATCTCTGCAATGGCACTAGCCTGGTCATCAGGAATGTCAATACTGTTTGCAAACTCCAGAGGTGGAGGGAGTGGCTCTGTGAAGTCAAAGTCCTCATCAATGTCAACCGAGGCCAGTGGAGGTGGGGGAATACGGAAGGGCAGTTTTACCGGTTCATCCAGGGATTCGCCTAAAGGAACGCTTCTCCTCCGGGATGTAGGTGGCTGATTGGCAGACAGTGTCTGAGTAGTGATAGGGTCGGGCTGGTTGGGGTCCTTCAGCTCAGATGGCCTGTTGCTGTCCTGCCCCTCCACCTCCATCTTGTTGTTAGCCTCTGTACTTGTGTGGACCATCAACAGCCCGGCCGACTTGGGCGCTGATGAGTCTGCCACATCCGCTGGCGCACTTTTCCTCTCCTCGACTGCCTGATGTTGCCGCTCTTCTCTTGCTCCATCAGACTCATACTTCTGCTCGGTCATCTGCCTCCGGAGGCCGCCTCGGCCAGGCCGCCCCATGGTCGCTGTGGAAATTGCAGCGTAGCTCGTCTCAATCCCAGAGCGTAGTTTGGTGTCAATAAACAATGGTTGGTTGAGGTCTGGTTTGTGACTTTGCTGAATTGGCAGCGACTGGGCTTCGTGTTTGGGGGTTTGCTGAACCTGAGGAGGATTTGGTGGCTGATTCTGAGGGTGGTTTTGTTGCTCCTTCATGGCCCGGTCACGAGCTGCCAGGGCCAGTGCAAGGGGAGAGTTAGGGTCAAGGGGCTTGCCAGTGACAGGATGGAGGTAGGTCCCATTAGCCCTGTAGTGGCTTTTAGGGGGCGTGGCTGGGAGACTGACAGGACTGTCCAGGTTGGGGCACTGACCTGTTCTGGTGTTCAGAGGCTCCCGAACCACTGTGGGCTCAGGAGTGTTGAAATCTGTCATATTGCCACTACCACCCCCAACAGGGGGTCCGAGCTGAGTTGAAGGGGGACCCAATATCCTTCGAAGACGCTCGTCGCTACTGAACATGCCTTCATCTATGGACTTCGACTGGCGAAGGCGAGGGGTCGGTGTGGGACCACTCAAGTCGTCATCCCCTATGTCTATTGACTGGAAGGCAATTGAGTGCTTTTTTGCCTCTAGCCTCTTCTCTCGGTCGCGAACTGCCCCAGCAATAGCTGCTGCAAAGGGGTTGCTTAGAGAGAGGGGGTCTTCAGGACGTAAACCTCCACTTCCACCAACGGTGGGTGTGAGAGGTGGGTGTTCAGGGGTGGTGGGTTCTATCTCCATACTGCTACCCTGGCTGCTCTTGCCACTGCTGCTGGTGGAGGGCTCTTTAACGATAATGGTGGGGATAGGAATGGAGGAACACGTTCTTTCTACAGGCGTAGTGGGCATAGAAACTGGGCCTGAGGGACTTGCTGGCATGTGACATGTTTTCTCTGGACTGTCTTCAACATTAGACTGCTTCACTAGCATGCCCTTCCTTCGAGCTGGTTTTGCTGGCACATACAGTGTCTTATTGCCCACCTCGGAGTAAGGGTTCTCAGGTACCGGCGTGCGCCCTCGAGTGCGTGTGCTCTCAAACTGCTCAGAGCTCTGCCGGAAATAGCCACGTCTCAGCGTGCCAACATCGGTAGTTCGGCTAATAGTTGTCACTGCGTTGGGTGAGTTCTGGACAAAGCTTGGTCGGGTGGTGCCATAGCTCTTGGTTGTCGGGCCAGCAGCTGAGTTGTAGGCAGGTGGTGAAGGTGGTGAAATGGCAGGTGGAGGAGGGATGTCCTCTGAGGTGTCCGGCATAGAGAGGCTGCGGGAGAACTTGAGCAAGGGAGGTGTGAGGAATCCCTGTTTCTCATCCTCCGTTGTACCTTGGGGGAAATTCAGAAAGACAAATTATGTTAGGACCTGCAGGAGATATCTGTCTTTTACTTGCTGCATGACCTCCTAATTCTGAAACATGTTTAGTTTTGGTTACACGACACGCTTATGGAGTTGCTGCAGCATTACTATCCAAGTTACCACCAAGTTTGAGAGCAACACATAAGTGATGCACATGTAACTTGCTTATATTAACATTTTGTATCATAAAAGGGTTCCCAGAGATATAGATGCCAATTTACCCATATTACACAAATTCTGTGAAAAAAAAAAATCACAGCGCTATGCTGGTTTCAAAAACTGAAAACAACATTCCAAAAATAAAATCTTGCCATTTTGTTTTGCCACAGCCCAAAACTGTACGTTTGCTGCAGGTGCAGCCAACAAAAAGACACATGTGCACCAGGAACAGTTAACATACATTGGGCTTTTAGTCTAGCCACTGGGTTATTGCTGTGAGTTCCTTCTTATCTAGTGTAGTAGCCAACAGAAGAAAATGTTACTTTTCAAACATTTAAGTGGTCGCAAGAAAGAGAATCTGCATGTAAAATGTCACACCAAACAGTTCTTTGACATGATGTCAGCTAGTTTGGAGCCGACTTGGAGTAAACTTGCAGAAAATGGAAAATAGGTTTGACCTTGCGGTCTCCATTAGGTTGGGCAAGGTCAAAGTTATGAAAATGCAGTTGTGTTCACAGTTACTCTGTTCCTCCCACTGCCAAAAATAATCAATTAATTCTGAAAGGCTGTTGATGTAGCACTTTTCCGCTCACGAAGGAACTCCAGGGACTGTCTGACCAACACTAAAGCCCCTATTCTTGACCATTAATTGTAAAAGCAGTTGATTCATGAAAACTGAGAGGTCAGAAAGATGTGAAAGGTAGCTGTTAGCTGCAGCCAGTAAGAACTTTCTGGTGGGTTCAGACAACTGACCAATTGAAATCTTGAAAACGAAAATTGAAACAAGAAAAAAAGCATATATATTCAGAGCGCTGTGTTTGAATCAATGCAGCAGTTATGGAGCTGTGTCACCAGATAAGGGGTTAGGTAAAGTTATTCAAATGAAATGACCAAAATACGTTGCACAAATTTACATCAATTTACTTCGTTGATTAGAAATGTAGTGACATTTAGGTATAAAAGCAGCCTTCTGCCTATCTAGAGGTGAGTAAATTAAGGTAATGGAACCAAGAAAATTTTGCTGAAGATGTTTGTTTATTTCAATAACATCCATCCATCCTTCAGAACAGTACAGTACAGCGGTGTGCAACTGTTTTCATTGCAGTCATTATGGGGAAAAAAAACAACACATAATCTTTTTTGTAACACTGATGGCACTGCAAATCAAAAGAGCTGTGAGTAACATTAGCCTGCATGACGTTCCTCTAGTTCAGCAGTGAGAATGAGGTTTCAGCATATGCTTAATGACCTCCAATATTACCGCCTGAAAGCACTCTTTGCTGACTGGCTCATTCTAATTTATCTATAATTAGCTTTAATATTGCTCAAGCACACAGAGCAAGTCCTCTGAGCATTAATAGAATATTATGACAAGCTGAAAGCACAAGGTAGTGAACGGGCAGTTCACAAGTTGAGCTGCACACTCACTCCTGCACACACACTCAGTATTTATACATCATACCTATGGACTTTTGCTTCTTCATAGTGCCCTTCTCAGGTATCCCCAGGTATGCCCCCGGCACAGTGGGTGGCACCACTGCTACTCCCTGGCGGTCGTGATACATGGACTGAAAAGCAGAATATTGTTAATGATGACACTTCTCATTAACTCTCTGATGACTGTGACTAACATTGATGGTGCAAGTCCACAGAATCCTTCAATATTCAATTCATTGTCTATGTAAGCAACTGTGCAATGCTTTTGGGTAGCATTGCATTTATGGCAAGCCGTTTCAGCATTTAATAGCGAGACTGGATATTTCCTGCAGATATCCATAATTACATTTTTCCTCCATGTGTTTCTCGTTACAGATCCAGATTCCAGTTTGAGATATTTACAATTTAATTCTGACTAGTCAAAATTCTAGTTCCAGATTACTTTAATTCCCCTAAATTCAACATATCTACAGTGTCCATTTCAAATATCTTAACATAAGTTTAAACTGCTCAAAATAATAATAATAATAATAATTGTAAATATCCAGAACTTGGATTCTGCCTTGTCAAAATGTCATTACAGAAATACATAATTAGAGTTTTGACTTGGCGAAACGGCGCAGCAGATATCTGTAGTTACGTTAGAAGTTACGGCAAGTGGGTGTTGAAAATGGAGGCGGTAGCTCTTGTTCTCCAAAACTTCTTGCTGATGCGCTCTTTTTTTAAACAACCTTATCCACAACAGCAACCGCCATTACATCTGCTGTTAAAATGCTTCCCTCAACCATTGACCATGGGAAGCCTCACATGAGCAGCTTCATGCACCATCCCTTATGGGCGGTTAGCAAACATACCTGTAACTCCATCTTATTAAACAGTAAAAGGATCCACCTTGTGGAACAACCAGGTACTACAGGAAATCTACAATACATTTTGTGACACATGTCCCTTGTCTTCTGCCTTAACATGTAATCGATTTTTAATCAGGCAGGTTATAAATGCATTTCATCGATTAACAATGAATCCTAATAATCCTAGTTTCCTGTTTCAGGAAGGGAGAGCAACTGTTAATAATAATCTGCTCCGTCGCACGCCTAACAAGTGACCCTGTGCGTCCGAAAAACGTCACTGTGGACTTGTCCCACAACAGTATTTGGTTTCAGTTATATATCCAGTGTTCAAAAATAAGACATTGAAATTCAAAGAATGGCATTTTTCCATTATGGATTTTGTGGAGGCAGCACAAACTACAGCCAAAAACACACTCATCCAAACACATCTAAACTAATGAAACACACTGATATCTCCAACAAGACTGCAATAACTGGTTTATTCTTGTTATATTAAATATTGTGTTAAATCTTCATCTTAGAAAAGCTCCCAGGTAAAGAAAGTGCAGTAGAAAGCACAGTATTTTCCTTAGAATTGTGGTAAAGTAAAAGAAAAAAAGTAGCACAAAATGGAGATACTTAAGTAAAGCGAATTAAAACTGCACCTAAGCACAGCACTTAAATAAATGATAAATGTCCTCTATGTCCATAACAGTTTTTCACTCGTGTCCTCTTACGTTCATATCAGTAGGCGTGACCAAGCAGCGACTGGATGGGCGTGGTTTGATTGTGGCGATCTTCATGTCAACAGGTGAGGTCTTCTGGGCATGTGTCATCTCCTCAACTTTGTCTGCAAGACAAAGCGAGTTGTAATCGATGAGCAACAAAACAGCGGCGGCGGGAGTGAACTTGCAAAGCCTTAGTAAGGATCTGACGCAAGCCAATCATTCACAGTGACCCTTCGTTGTGTTTCCACACTGAATTTGCAGATGAAACTGAAACAGAAAACATAGAAACACATTGTCTTTTTTTGGAGGGGAGGGGGGACTCTGATGAAATGTGTCGGGTGTGTCCAGCCTTGGAAGCCGTGCAAGCTCTTTCCAAACAGCCGACTCAGCAGCATCATCCAACTCTCAGGGTCGTTCCCTCATTAAACCCCCCGAACCCCAAAACACACGGCTTGAAGGTATGGTATCGTTAAAGAAAATGTTCAATTACAAATCGCCAAAATTACACCACGTGTAATAAGAAGAAACTGTGAAAATAGAGAGCGTTGTCGAATTTTCAACTTAAAACTGAGATGTTTTTGCAAAATCATTTTATTCTATATGTCTTGTTTAAAAAAAAATGCCAAAAACAAAAGATCTGTAGTTAAACAGATTCCATAAAAACTGAAAACTTTGTGCTCCTCGTCCAACGTAAAGCAACGAGTGGCTCAGCATAAAACACACTGGATCAATGAAATAAATGCAGCATGGCTCCAGACCAGTGTACAGAGGAGCAAGTTGTCAGCATGTTGTTGGAAGATATATTTATGCATTGTGAAATAGTTAAATAGAAGTGTGAAAATAAAACGCCAGGATTGTAGAAGTTGTAAAAGTGTAAATAGTAAAATTCCAGTTTGGTAACACCTGTGGGCAAATGTTGTACATGCTGATTTCAGTTTTATTCAGTTTTTCAGAAAAAATCCAATTGTTTCATGATTTATGGTGTTCCAACTGTGTCAAACTGCACAAAAGACATTTCTGAAGTCTCTCTACTTCTGTGCTGTTTCCATAGAGGTGCAGGACTTCACACTGCAGTGAAAAACGAGTCCATAGCGAGAGTAAAAAAACGCAGCTTGGGGTTCAGAGGGTTAAATGTAAAATGAGTGATGAATGTGAAGTCTGTCAAGTTTGCCGTTATCTCCCAGTGGTTTTCTTTTTTTTTCTTCTTTTTTTAAAGCCTGCGATGTGAGAAACGGCAAATTTGGCAGAACTGAACTTCCCTCTGGTGTGTGATGATGCCATCAGGTAGAGTCCACCTAAAGGGCTTCACTCAGAGAAGCTACATGCTAGCCCTGATCTAGCCTCCTGCGGGGTCACCTCCCTGACTAGCTCTGCTCAGGATGTAGAAAAGCTTCCATGCATTAGGGGAGTGATTACTTAGAGTGACTTGGAAAACAATCCTCTTCTTCTGCGCATCTACACACAGAGGAGAGGAATGGGGGAGGGGAGGGGAGGAAAGGGGAGGAGAGGAGCATCAATGACCTTAACTACAGTTAGAGCTAAAAACACACAAACACACACACAGAAGAGCAGAAAGAGGCACATTTCCTCTCTCTTTCCGATGTGTCTCCCAATTGGATTGCGGCTACAGCATATCAGACAACATGCAACACGGTTGCCCTGGAAACCTATCTGTGAGTGAAACATTTCCTGGAATAAACCTCCTCCTCCTCCTCCTCAACGCACACATAAACACACATTTACACAAGCCTGTACTGACACATGAGGCACCCATGAAAAGAAAGAGACATGACAGCAAGCCTTTTTAGGTCAGGTAAACTGAACAAACACTGACGAACATTTTGTGTTTTTTTTTGGCTCACAAACATACACACATGTACACGACTGTTTTGTATTTCCTCATTAAGGGTCTGTTGCTACATGTCTTTGCGTTTGAAGCTTGAAATTCTTCCAGAAGGTGAACAGTGTGCTGCTGTTAGTGTTGCAACATTGGGATCCTGGGTTTAAGAAGCACTCGGGTGAACTATTCCTTTAATTAAAAACAAAAACGGGACCCATCAGCACCAGGGCTGCAGGATATATCGCTTTAGTATCGACATCACAATGTGAATTCAGGCAAATTGACTTATAAACTTCTTGCTTCAACTTTTTTTGATACAATAAAAGCTGCCATTATTTACTCTGATTGAATGTTCTTGGATGGTGGGCTGCAACTAACGACTACTTTCATTGTCAATTAATCTGTCTATTGTTTTCTTAGTTAACTGATTAGTTGTTTTGTCTCTAAAATGTCAGAAAATGGTGACAAATTTGAAAAGACGACACCCTGAAACGTCTTGTTTTGTCCACAAGTCAATGATATTTAGTTTACTGTCAGAGAAGAGGAAAGAAACCAGAAAATATTCACATTTTAGAAGCTGGAATTAGACTTTTCCCTAAAAAAAATTTGAAAAAAGAGTCTGAAACTTATTATTTAATTGAACAAACTACCATAATAATAATAGTATACAGTTTAACAGTTGACAACTAATTGATTGATCAGGGAGTCGCTGCAGCTCTAACATGAACAGGCTTTGCACCGAGAAGGATACAACACTTGTGCAATATGATATTTATAGAAGCTGGAATCAGACAATTGAGATTAATCGACTTGTTGGTAGCTCTATTGGAAACACTCAGTCCTTTTGTCTGTACAGCAAAATGAGCAAAGAACTGGTGAGAAACACTGACAAGAGAAATTTGGTTGCAAAAAGGAACGCAACATCAGTTTTACGGATATATTTGAGCTACAGAAAGAATGATGTTGATCAAAAACAGGCACTCTGTCGGCAACAATGCAGCCACATGATGCAACTCCATAAATTTGTGTGACTATATAAATCAGCAGCACAAAACTCTGTATGACAAGTGCAAAGCCACATCTGAATGCCATCCAAAACAAAAAGCTATTTTGGATGCCTTTGCCAGTGTTACACCACACGAGAAATGTTCCACACAGCTTTTTTCAGCCTCTTTTAAAATATTTTGTATTTTCGATGCACTTGCCTACAAAATCACCCCAATCAGAATGATTAATTCACGTGTTTTTTCATATCACAAAGCCAGCTTTTCTCCAATATCGTGCAGTCCTACTTAGCTTCATGAAGGAGGAGGAGAAAAAACCCCAATAATCTGCGATTGTGAAAAGGCAAAACATCGTTATACGACATCAAAGCATGCACCAACAACATTTAGAACACAATGACGTTGCTGTAGTCGGAAACACGTTGTACTTCATGCAAAAACACGGCGGGTGTAGAGTCAAAGAAGCTGTTCAGACAAATCACACCTTTAAAAGAAATCGTCACCAAATACAACAGTTAGTAGTTAGTTAATCACAGTGAGGCGGTGGGGTGCAGGGGGGTACATGACATAAATCAATCACTAAAGATACCAGATCAGACTTAAGCATGCCTACAGTAACTTACCACCTTTCTTTTTCCTTAGAGTGGCTTAAGGGGCGACAGAAAAAGACTTCTGAGTCTTCACAGCACATAAACACACTCGGGAGGGAAACTCTGCCCGCATTTTAGCTTCTTTCATAACATTTGTATAAAGTATTCAGTCAGACTTAACAATGCTACCAAGCAGTACTATTACTACTACACATGCTTAAAGCACAGAATGAAATGTGTCAACTAAGTAGCTCAGTTAAAAAAAAAACCTGCTGACCAGAGGTGTTTTTCTGTCAGCAGCTTTCTGCAGCATAAGCAGATTGTCCTCCGTGTCATGCATTTATTAATTCACCTTTCATCTCGCTGCCTGCACTTTGCACACCTTCGACACAGGGCACAAAGCTGCAATTACTAATGATTGACCCTTTAGTGTATCCAGTAAATCAGAAGCTGCAGTGCAAACCCACCAATCTGCTGTTCTTTAAGTAGTTGATCAATAAAAGGGGGGAAAAAAAAAAGTGAAACGTCCATAAGAAGTTCTCACAATCTGACGTGACTCCTTTAAACTGCCTCTTTAATTTTCTTCTCAAATCGATTAATTTAGAATTACAGAAGAGGTGGGGCACCCTGCTTGAAACAAAGACCGCATCAGGTACAGTTAAAATCTAATTTGTGATGCTATTAATCAATAGTCACCTTTACTTTTTCCATGCTGGGATTTCGAGTGCAAAGGATTCATATGAAAATGATACATGCATGTTATCCGATTTTAAGCAACTGATGAGGGATCAACCAATTATTGGATTTGATATCTTTGGTATCTATCTTTGTTTTAACTCCTTATTGATAAAATAAACTAACATAAAAATGCACCACTTTGGCTGCCTCCATGTTTTCTTCTTCTTATTAAGTGAATCTAAGGCAAACTTCTAAAACATAATGCTAATTACACTTGTTTGCTTTAACTGCTTGATAGCGAATAAACTCGGCTGTGCGGCGTCGTCAAAAGGTGGCAGTATGGGCTGCAAAGCACTTGCCTGTAATAAACAGTGTAGAAGAAGCTGGAAACAAAACTGAGGCTGTGTCCCAAATCATTCACTTTCATTACGTACGCTACAGCTGCCCTCACAAAGTATGTTCTGTTTCACGCAGTGTGCGCACCACTGGGACAGACTACTTCATTATAATACTGTGCTTAAAGCTTTGACCGTCGCAGTGTGTAATGCAAAATGAGCCGTCGTCTGTCTCGGCGCTCTCGGCGGCTCAAACTGGTTTATACTCGCGTGAGACACCGTGATGTAACTGCGCAGAGAATTGTGGGTCAGAAAAGCATGCTGGCTTGCATACTACAAAATCCAAACAAATGTAGTAGGATCCTGCTATTTATAGCAAACTGCATTTGAGATACTGTGTACTTGGAGGTATTACATCTTTTTCTGGCACAAATTCTATGAGTACGGTTGTATGGATATCAGAACGCGCTCCATTTATTCACCAACCTCTGAAAAAAAATACTTAAAGAAGTAGAAACAAATAAAGCTCTGTCCATCTGCAGAATAGATATAGATAGAAGTCTGCAGGGTTGTTTCCAGTTGATGTAATTACGCTTTTACGCCACCTGCTATCGGCCATGTTAAAATGCCACCTAGATTCTCTGGAACTAGACACTCATGAATGTTGTGAGGTAAATGTTAACTACATCAGAGTTTTTTCCATCTCCTATAAAGCTCACTAACTATTTTTTGTAAACGTCTAAAACCGTATCAGGTGACAGATTTGCTTTATTTTTTTTTTTTTTGCGGAAATTGCGGATGTTAAACCATTTCCCTTAACTTGTTTCAAATGTCATACTTTAAAATGTGCATAAAAGTACATTATGGAAACCACAGCACAGCACTATTTCATTGGTGACACCTCACATTACAAGTTTGTGTTACTCTGAATTCTGACAATGCTTAAATACTGATGATCAGTATTGGTACGAGCTTTGAAACAGCATCGGTCGACCCCATAACAGGTATCAGCCACACGGTGTTTAGTGTTCACGGCAAGTTTGACTTTTTTTTTTTGTCACCAGATCAGTTTGGATTTTTCACTGTAAAAAAATATATAAAAGTCAGGAGCAGCATAGTGAAGTTTAAGATAAGGAGCTGCATGCAAAAAACTGCATGCTTCCAATTCCTCTGCATGCTCGGTAACTTTACTGAGTCCTGCTGCTGAGTGGAAAACTACCGGCTCTGTGCGCAGCATGAAACCAGATGGAGGTTGTAATTACTATTGACTGAATCCTTTATGAAAACAATGTTTGGCTGCAGTCTAAACAGATACACCTGCTGCTCTTCTCTTGTATTTCTGACAAAGTAGCTTCTCGGCTACAGTTTGCTCTGGTATTAAACCGTCGTAACCAAGGAAACCACACCAAATCAACCAGGACTCAGATATTAGGGACTTTAGCATCAGGAACAATCGATATGCTTTTTTGGAATAAAAATATGAACCTTCAGGGAACAAGAGCAGAGGAGCTAATTCACAAAGCCGTGAATTTAGTGTGTGTGTGGTTTCAGCTTAGCTGTTATCAACTAAATAAAGTAGATCTTTAGAACATAGAGGCGTCTCTCCTTTCTGTCTCACACACTTCCTCCTTCTCACCCTTCCTTTCCTTCCATGTATCCTTCCTCTCTCAGGCCTCTTGTTCAGAATCGCTGACTATCCTAAAGATATTAGAACAACTATGTAGAGGGAGTCCTCACACAGATAAAAACAAACAAACAAAAGAAAAACAAAGAAAGATGACACTATCCATAATGCTGTTTCTTTTTGCTTATTAGCTCTTTGTAACAACAGCAGCTATGGGTGCAGGCATAGGCGTAGATTTTGTAAAACTGCTGTGAAAACGAGACAAAACCTCCGACAGGGCCATACTCCTTCAGCACTGGGTCTTTTTTATCTCAAGAAATGAATTATAAGCTCATGTGAAAAATCAGATTCATTTATATCCTCTTTTCAGTTATTACATGTTGCCTGAATTTTGTGTTTTCCTTTACTTAAAGTTAATTATTTTAAAAAACAATCGGTGTTCTCACCTGACCGACTCAGAATCAGCAGATTTTTTTAATATATAATAACTTTAGTATATTTAATGTAGCAAATGTTTATCTTCATACAAAAAATATTTCACAAGTTTCAGGCTCTTGAAGTTCATAGAGGTGGATCAGAATTTTGTGCTTTTTAATTTGCTTTGCTTTTACAGCATATTTCAGCCCTCATAACTTCATCAGTGCAGGAGATAGACACAAATTATTAAATAAAAGTACATTTTCAGGGATGAGAACCACATTTAAGCTGTTAAAAAAAACTGCATCCAAATTAATTTTACATCCAGTCCAGGTGTCCCAATCTTTTTTCTATAACCAACTTTGAGCATCAACATCATCTTAGCTTCAATAATAAAACGGCACAAGTTTACTGTCTCAGACACAGAGTAAAGAAACAAGCAATGGAACGCCAGATGTGTTTCTGTTTTCTGATAATTCCCCTGAGAAAACTTTAAAAAGCGCATTTTGAGTAAACTTTCCAGAGTCATATCACCATGTGGGACAGGTGGTTGGTCACAACAAGTTATAGCACATTCAGAGTCTCATTTTTACCTGCATTTGATACCAGGTTCAACTTCTAGCCTTGATATCTTCTGTGTGATATTCATTGTTTAATATAGTCATATTTTGACACTCTGTAATGTAGCTTATGGCTGTGAAAAAAGAAACATTGGTGTTGCTAAGTGTATAATAGTATGCATTTACCAGCTCAAATTTGTTTTCAATACCTGAAAATTTCATGCAGCTCCTGTACATACAAAACACAAATATTGCATTGTATGGACCAGCGCTTGTTTCAGCTACTCACAGACATTACACTGGTGCAGCTTTGCCAAGATTTTGGCTGTAGATTGCGACACCTGGAGTAAAGCGGCTGCAGGACTGAACAGAGCTTAAATGTGTTTTTCATCCCTGACAAATTTAACTCCAGTACTTCTGAAGTTATTAGGGCTAAAAATAAATAAATAAATAACTAAAAAGTTGTAAAAAAAATAAGGCTCCAGTGACCTCTAAGGGCCTGTTAACTTGAAAAATATTCATAGTATGAAGGTAAAACTTTTCAAAGCTTCATTAAACATATTAAAGTTATTGTACATAAAAACTCAGCTGATTTTTCGGGGGTCAGGTGGAAACTTTTTCTGTTTTTTTTTAGATTTGGTTGATTTTATATTGAATGACCTATAAATAAAGACAATGATGCAGAAAAAGCATACATTTTTGCATAAAGATTCATCAGAGTGCATGAAAGAAGATCTCTGATGCTCAAAAATTCGAATATCCACATGAAACCTACGCCCATGGCTGCAGGGATCTAGAAGCAAGAGTCTTCATGCATAAAGGCAAACGAGGACAGGAGATGAAGAAGGGAGGGAAAAAGCAGTTTTCTTCTATTTTTTTTTTTTTTTAGCAAAAATGATCAAATGATGGAAATGCAGATTGCATCAGCCTGAACAAAAGCCTCATTCAGCCATTGTGAGCCGATGGATGTTGCAAAATGGATGGCAAAAGGTTATGCAGCATTAACTGCTTACCTTTATCCACTATTGAGAGATTAACCAATCAATGAGAATAAGAAAGAGGAACAAAGAAGAGAGAGGTGCCGTTAGACGCCGACTTCCTGATGCCATTGTGAGTAAAAAAAACAAACAAACGGAGACACTCTTACCGAGTTCCTCCAGCTCAGAGGTCATCGACTTGGAGCGCATGGACAGTGCTGTGGTGGGGGCTCTCTTTGGGGGTGGAGGAGCTGAGGAGGAGACAGTCAGAGCGAGGTGACTAAAAGCATTGTGTTTTTATTCTGATACAATAGCGTTACACTTTCTAATAGTCTTTAAAGCCACACAACTTGTCAAGCAACCAGTCGATTCTCAGAAAAACATATTATATTAATAAATAATTGCTGAAGGGTGAAGTGATTCGGCGAACTTCCATCATGGATGATCTTAATTTGGCATATAATCATCTTTCCTTAGTTTTTAAAAACATTGTCTAAACGTTCCTACTCCACCTGAACTCAACAAAAACCTCATGGTTCTGACACTATTAGGTTGACTCTCGTTGGATGCTCTACACATCTTGAAGGTATTTCGTAAACAACAGACCTCATAGCAGGCAAGGAATTACAGCGAGCAGACCAACGTCATGAAAAAGCTTTGTTAGACAAGTCCATAGGTAAGTGCAGTAAATTTGAAAATATTTTTAATAAGTGCAGCATTATCAATCATCAATCTGTTAACTTGTGGTACAAATTAGAGTAGTCTCAGCAGTTGTCCTGTTCTGATTTCTCTATTTCAAACCACAGACACTTTCTATGGATTTCAAAAGCAGGTCATCACATACGGCACTGGAATAAAGGAACTCTATCCAAACTGATTGCCTTTTAATGTCTAACATGCGTGCTGGGCAGATGTTGTTAAGTACCACAGAAGACTTTGTCATGGTGTCCCTTTACTAGCTAAGCTCCTGATACACTCTGCTTGCCAACACAAAACTGTTCACCTCCCCTGTGAACCAAAACATGAAACATAAGTGGTTCAACCAGGTCCTAATCATACAACAATTACTAATACAATAATTAAAGTGCAGAAAATGGTATCGAATTGGGACTTATTGGCAGATACTTAATATCAAATGATTCAGATCAGATTAGGCACCAATAAACTTAATCAGGACATCCCTAATTGTAAATTCTTCCCATCCAGATCCTGTGCCGGCTGTAAATGCAGATCGTTAGCATTTAGTTGTGTAAGTACACGAGCTCTGTCTCGGTTTAATCCCTTCTTAGATTCATTATGCAGAAGTTGCCAGCGCAGGGGTCTGTTTCCTCCTCTGTGTCGTGCCTCTTAGGGTAATAGAGTTTAAGCTGTTTTCGCTCCATGCGTTGATGAATCTAAAAACAAATTTGGCTTGATGTACAGTATAGTGCATTGTATGCTGTCATTCTTGCTAAGTCTATCATTTTGTCAAAGTGTGAGGTCAGTTTGGGCTGGACATTTTAAAGTAGGTATTTTTACAAAAAAAGCTGAAACTTTCTGGGTGTTTTAATTTTGGAACAGCAAGCAACTGCCTTAAATCTTGTTAATGTCTCCAGAGCAAAGGAGCCAAACTATTCAGTGACTCTGCTCTCTGACAGCAGCTCTGTAGTATCAATACTGATTATCCACCTGGTCTCATAGGATGGAAACTCAAAAAGCGTCAGAGTGGCAGAGATACGAATCACCACTTCAGAGTGAAAACAGGATGCACAGATATGTGAGTTTGGACTTCAGCCTTGAGTTGAAGTGACAGATTTACATCCAGGTCTCCGTATGCACAACTAATTATGTAATCACGTGAGTTCAGCTAAATTAGCTGGAACAACTGTGATTAAAATCGCAATTCTAACCGGAAAATTGTGAAATCTTCTTTGGTCAGATAGCTCACCCCTAAGTAACAGTTTCAGTCAGCTGTTCCAAGTTAAAACATAGTTACGAGAGAATGTTTTGCCTTTATTTGTCAAATATAACTTCAAAACCGCTACGATGGAGACATCATGTTTCTTCCTGTCATGTTGCAGTGTGTATTTTTTGGACATTTCTTAGACTAAACAGGTGACTTGACATGGAAGGAACTTAGAGTAAGTGTGAGCTGTGAACATTTACAGGAACAGCCCTTTATCGAGACCTTTCAGCCTGTCTGTTTCCATCAGAGTATAGGATCCAACACCTTCGGCTGTAGAGTTAACTCAGCGTGTACAAAAGCAACAACAAATAGTAGCTATTGGATATAACTGCAAAACTATGAGCACATAGGAAATAGAACAATATCTGTACACAGCCTGCATGTAAATGATATATGAATTATTTCAATACATGCAAAAGCAACCAGCACACAAACCAACACTGCAAATAATCTTGAGTTGCATCCCTACTTTTGCAGCCCTGCGATTGTTTGCTACTGTATAGAGATGCCACTTCATATAAAGGCTTAGTTAACTTTATTAACAGTGAACGTGATTTCGCTATTGGTCATAAATGTGGAAAAATATGGATCTGTAGGGAGGAAAAAAATGTAGTTTCAAATCCTAAATTAAGTTTTAAAGTGACAGTATAATTGTGAAACAAGACACTGGGATATTGGTGTTTCAGCATTTTTAAATCACTCAGTCATTTTACTGACTTGATGAATCTTCTGCTGTTGTTCCACTGCATTCTGTAACTGCTGTGGCCGCGGCTGCTGTTCTTAATGATGTTACATTTGCTCCCTTTCCATATGTCCTCGCACGCTGCAAAGCTTTTTGTACACACTATGTTCTTTACCCATCTGTCTTACTGCATTACAACCTGGGAACAGGCAGGCGTGACTACACGAAAGGCTGTGAACTCACTCTGTAAATCCAAAGGCCAGATGATCGTCATCACTGAATGTACTGCAGAATTCTCCTCTTAAAGGAGGTCTTGCATTTCTGGGCGGTTGAGGAGAGCATCAGTAGTTCAGAAAGACAACACGTAGAAACTCTGGAAGCTTTGCAGTGTTTGAAACAAGGCCCTATCTTTAGCTAAAATTGGAATTAAATTGTCACCACCAGTGTCTGCCTTGTATTTATCACACAGATTCTGTTCATTATCCCTCACTGATGGACTTTTGTGTTGTTTTGTGGTTTCTAATTGTTGTTTTTGTTGACTCAGGGACGACGAGCTGCTGGCTAACAATTGTAGCTGCTTTAAATTGTGCACTGTCCCTGCAAAATGTATTTTTAAAAAGTCCAGTGAAAATAAATAAATCTTTGCTTATTGGCAGCAAAAGTCAGAATTTGTTAATTGTCATCTAATAAGTTCTGACAGTATCCAAATAAAAACACAAAGTCTTAATTGAGTTTCAAAGGTCTTCTTCAGCTGTTTTTAGCCTCAGGTGACATTCCTCAGTCAGTAACTTTACAGGAAACACTGTTTGCATTATGAACATGGAGTAAGTCAGGTTCTTTGCTGCCTCAGAGGGATGTTATTACATAACACGTCATCAGTCAGCATGCTGCTTTACTGCAGTCTTTGGTATTTTAATACAGGAGGTAGCAGAAAGATTTTCACACCATCTTACTACATGATGCTGCCCTGCTGCTCCACACCTCATCATTATTTCATTTTCCAGCATCAGCGTCACGTATTTCAGGCAGGAAAAGTCCCCCGTGTTTACAAATTTTCTTTGGCGTGACGCTCTGAATAGTGTCGTCGTACCTTTTTTGCGTGCCGTGTCCTCGGGGTCCAGATTCCGGCTCACCGTCACCACCTTGATCAGGAGCCGGTTGCCCCCCTGGCGGATCATGTTGACCACCTGTCTGTGGCCCACCTTCACCACGTTCTCCTGGTTCACCTGCCGCAAACACACAACGGTGGAGGCATTAATGGGCTGAGAAAGAAGGATAGACTTCTGAGGAATTCTGAGAGCGTTAGGAAAAGTTTTCTCAGCCTGTATGCTAACCGTTGCAGTTTGAGAACATTTTGAGCAGCATGGAAGTATTTTAAACTTCTGTATGTCTTGAGAAACCTTCTTTTGGGTGGGAAAACATTGTCACCCCTCCTATGCTCAGACTACAGGACTTTAAAAAAATCCCACCACATTTTGAAATTGAGTTGCACGTGATGAGAAACTTCACAGATATTCTTCTCTCTAATCTTAGACATGCACACACTCCAAGGTTAGAAAATAATGGTGCATCATACACTACCACACTGAGATTATAGTATCAGAAGGAGCAGAGCACCACATGATCTCATGGGGAAGTAGATGTAAACAAAATGGAGAATGTGGTGCAACAATTTGCTGTAATGGTAATAATACTTTACGGTGAGAAAAAACAAAAGCAGAAGGCTTAAATGATGAGTCTGGGTGAGAATATGGTCGGGAAGATGTGGTCAACGAGGGTTGCCTGTTGTTCAGCGTGAACTGGAGGTGAGATTTTAATCAGTTTTAATATCTGTAGCTAACATTAGCCTCAAGAGTTAGAATGTTTAGCGTTGCTAATTGTTGGGGTGGCCCTGATGAGCCTGCAAAGAGTTCATGAGGCTTAAGACTGAATCTGTAAACCCATCACATTACAAAATAATTTGGCACGAACATCTGTCCAGATGAAGATCGCAGACCAAATTCCTCCTCCGATTGTCAGGAGGGGTGAAACTGGAATAAATCAACCAGAAACTCCTGTAGGCAGAGCTCTGTTTAAATCCAAGAGCAGAAGAAACTAAGAATATGGAAACTTGACAAACCACACACACACCATCATTCTATAGTGTACATCTCTAAAGTACAAACTCAAAGCAAACTGCCCCCTAATCTGATTTACCATCAGATACTGTAGGCGACCATGGCCAGGTCTATCAAGAAACAAATACATGGTTTTAGAATAGTTTTGTGAGTTGAAAGAGGTTTTTTACTGGAATGGATGCAGTCTTATAGAGCTGCACGACTGCGACCTGTAAGATAAGATTGTTCTCACGTTAATTTATTGATTTTAGAAACAAAATATGTTTACTGCACATTAATATTTGAATAAACGGAGCACAGCCTTCACTGCTAATGTCTGACTGCATCAAAATACAGTCAGACTTAAAATAATCTTCACCTGAATTCAGTGCATCTCCTAAATGGATAAAGCTGTACCAAAACTTTGTACCCAATATTAAAACAACAGAGCAGCTTAACTTTGCACATTGTGTAATATGGTGACACACTGTATAGTGTTCCTGGTAGACATTTGATTTTTCATTTTGCGCATCTGCTCTCTGTTGGAAATCGCTCTTCCACTTTGGACTGCAGCTGCAACATCCAGGAGATTTCTGCACAGGCTGCCGCTGCAGGGTTACGTGCACAGCAGCATGACAGCTTCCAAAAAAAGTGAAGCCAAAACATCTGGATGGCTTCCTGGTAGCTGGCTGTTAGTGTAGGAAGAGCTTGATTTGATATGCAGCACAGTTCTCGGTATTTTCAACATCAGTATTGCAGTCGATCATGTTCATTTGACTGCAGAAAGCCAAAATCGAGATTAATATTTGATTAGATGTGCAGCCCTATCTATCCTCTAATAGTGAGGTCAATGTTTACGCATGACAGATGCAAAATGAAAAAAACCTCCAGTTTAAAGAAACAATATTTATTTTTATCAATATAAAAACAGCAATGGTAAAAAGCAGCAAGAAACTAAACACCAGCAATATGCTGCAAAGAAGACATTCAAAGATTTGCAGCGTCATGCTGGGACAGATGCTGTTTCCAGGTAGAAACCTCAATGTGAGAGACCAGCGACGTGGCAGGAGTCTGACCAAACAGAGGCATAAGGGAAGGACTGATATTACACTGCAGCTGTGCCCCAGTTACACACAATATCAGCCCCGCTTTTATCACAAAACCTTTGGCGGTAACAGACACATTTCCCCAAAATGGAGACTTGTGCTTCTTGAAGGGTTTGTAAAAGAAATAATTAATAGCGTGCACACCTATGGTCCACCTACACAGGTGATTTTACTTGTTATGGCTGATTAAACCTCTCCTCTGGTCTGTGTGGGTGCGTACAGTCTGTTTGAGTGACATCTGACCTCATTTACACTTTATGTTGCACATCCAGATAAAACCCAGGTGCATCTTATGGAGTACAGTTTTCACTCAGGTATACACTGTACAGAGTATTTGGCTTCTAGTTTACATTTTTTAACAAGCTCCCAATCAGGAACTTTGATAAAGTGGGAACGACACATCTGGTGACTTCATGCACATCCCAGCAAACTTCTGACCTCTTAAACATTTCAACCACAATAGCTGAAACCACATGTGGATCTTTAAGCTCATGAAGTACACACAGGTGAAACATCTGGATGACTAATCACTTGTACATTTGCCTCCTACAGATAGTCAGTCATGTACTTCAAAGCTGATTTTATTGCTTTCTTTAGTTAATGTGTATCAAGGTGAGATCATTCCTTTATCTTCATTAGTTTTTATTGTATTGTGCAAATGTATTAATTATGTTATTAACATCAAAACTATTACCTGTGCACTTGATAAATAAAGCTGTCAAACTCTAATCAAACCTTTTATCTGCCACACTTACCTGAAATAAGCTTTTTTTCTACACTTCCTGCTCCTCCCTGTAACGCCTGCAAGTTAACTTTAGAACAGTTTTAGATAATTGTTTGATCCATGCAGCTCATGTCTGCTACTTTTAATTATGGTTTTTAAATTGAGGTCATTTATTATTTTAAATCTACGTCCTTTACTGTGTTATATTATTATTATATTATTATATTATCAGCGCTCAACTTACTCGTGTATGAAATGTGCTACACAAATAAATCAGCCTTGCCTTTTCCTTACTAAAAATAGGTCAGTTAAAATGATCAATAACTGTCAATATCGACTGAGAGGAAACATTTTATTGTGATAAACTTTTCAGCTACACCCCCAGGCTTCAGCTTAAATCTGGAATATGTAACTTCCTCCTGTTTCTGATAATTAAAATAATCTGTCCTGAGGACTAAGGGGCTCAGCTGGTAGAGCGGCTTGTCCACTAAATACAAAGTGGGCGGTTCGATCTCCAGCTCCTCCGCATGCCAAAGTGTGGTGACTGAACCTGAAGCTGCTCCAAGTGGCAGCTCCTGTGTCTGAATGGGTGAATGATAAACACCGTGAAGCGCTTTGAGTACTGCCAAAGGTAGAAAAATGCTATTAAAGTGCAGACCATTTACCATTTACTGAACCTGCCCGCTAAAACACCAAATGTTGATCAATCCACTACTGAAAATAGTTGCCAACAACTACAATACTTCCTCTATTCAGCCCATTATCGGAATTTACTGAGCTTTCCTTTGATCCAAAAACTGAAACAACATGTTTATGAGGAAATCTTGAAGATTTACATCGTCAGTTTCTCAGCTGTCTCGCAGCCCTGGATGAAAATGGAGGTTAGATCAAATCAGATCAGATCAGATCAGGTTTACTGTCATTTTGCTGTACATACACAGTAGTACAGGCAAGATGAGAGAGCGTTTCTTCAGGATCATTTAAGTTTTGCAGAACGAACATCTGGGATAGGCAAGACACTGAACGTTCACACTCGCTGTCTCCTGAAGGGGCCGCTGCGTCCATGCCCGCCACCATTCTATTAGGTGCAGCACTAATAGAAGATATTAGGACAGAGGTAAAAGTTGTGACTGATTTTTCCTTTGATTCATCCTGAAGACAAAGTTTCTCAGCAGTAAGAAGACTTCAAGGGAAACGCTGGAGAATTCCATTTAAAACTGGCCATAGATATGCAAATACGATTGTGGCGGGGTGCTTCCTCCGTGTCCTGCTGCCAGTCTTCATAATTACAATATTCATGATGGAGAGGGGCTGCTGCCCTCACAGTCCGACTTCAAAGACAATCAGAACAAGTTGGTCTGTGGCCAGAAAGAGATTCTGCTGCAGAAACTTCAGCGGCAGCGGCTGTAATTAAAGGCGACGTGTGTTGTTTTTTTTTTCTCCGTGTAGAGGTCACAAACACCAGCAGGCCACATATATTAACATAGCCGCTATCCAAAACACTGCACTGCACACCCCCACGCTCATATCAGATTTTTGGCTGTGCAAACAAACACACACACACACAGACACAAACACACACAAACACACACACACTTTATACTTTCAAACATGCATGCCCCCGTGGATGGTTTTTAATCTCATTACCGCTCGTCTAATTTAATATGGGCCCTGCTGGACCGCTCCTCTCATCTATTCTCCGGTCTGCTCCGCCCCTCCTCTTCTTCTTCTTCATCTTCTTCTTCCTTCAGACAAACAGAGGAGGAGGGGTCACATGAAGAGATGCGACCGGCCCGGAGCGACGGCGAAGGAGTGATGGATGAGGGGAGCGAGAGAAAGGAAAAGTGGCAGATGAGGGGAAACGTAGAGGATGATGGGAAGCGATGAAGATGGAGTAGAGAGTTGGGGAGTTTCTTTCTTTCTATCCTGAGTTTTAATCCAGCAAACTCAGGCATCACAAGGGCACACATTTCAGTAATTAAAGAGAAACGCTCCAACAGCTGTTTGGGTTTGACCTTGTGTTCCCGCCGTCATCACAGGCACTGAGGTTCCCTCATACACTCCAACACACACACATAAAGACAGTTCACATATAGGGGTAGCCTTATGTAATCCGCTCTGTCTTTCCTCCC